AACCACTCAAAGCGCTTTGAGTCACGTTCACAGATTCACCCATGCATTCACACACTGGTGACCAAGGCTACCACACAAGGTGCTACCTGCTCACCTCAACATTCACACGCACCCACAGGCCAATGGCACACCTGCTCTCCCTCCCGAGTCGCAGCCGATACATCTCTTTATTCTTCATTAATATAGACAGTTTCTATCCATCTTGTGTTTTTAGGGAGTGATAAATAGAATATATACTGCACCCTTTCAATATGAAAATGCATCGTATTCTTCCGTTGTTGGTGTTTATTTTGGATCAGTTGGCACATTTTACACTGGATGACATCAAGTACCATGTAATTTAAATACACATTCATCAATTACTGACAAGAATACAATGCTAATTTCACCATTTGGACAGTGACTGCTTTTTCTTTTGTTACTTTTTGCTGCTGATACTTTTAGTAAAACATTTGAATGCTGTGACAGAGTATTTGTGTATACTGGTACTACTTTCACCTTAGAAAGGAATCTGAATGCTTCATCTTCCACTGAATGTAACACAGGAAACTGTTAAAGTTACGACCCTGAACCCAACCCCCGTGATTAATGTAGTTAAAAAAAACATTGTCAGGTTTGGTGTTAAAGGCCGGCAGTGCAGACTCGCCTTATTGTGAATCTTGACCCAAATGAGTGATGACTGTGTGTTTTTTTTTTTCTTCTTCCTCCCCAGGACAGCTGCTCTGACCTGGACACATATCTGCGGGGTCCGCTGAATCAATACCTCCTCAACGTTTCCACGGCAGCAGAGCTATGCAGCCAGACCTTGTGTGGTTCTCACGGCCGCTGTCTGCGCAGAAACCCAGACAGTGATGTTTACTTGCATCTGAACCCCCTCCACCACTCTATCATCATGCTGGGCGGCAAGGCGAGGGTCATCGGTGACCTCGGCGATGAAGAGAAGACCAATTTTCACACCAGCTTTCAATGCCAGTGCTACAGCGGCTATCAGGGAGTGGGCTGCGATCAGAAAGACCCTCTGCACCAAAGAGGGATGGCATGTCAAATCGTGGCGTCAGCACTGCAGTGTGCCATCTTACTGATTATCTCTGTGCTCCTCTTTTAAAACACCAAAATACTGACATGGCTGCATTTTATATGTCTAAATACTGGCGCACATTAGACAGGAATTGTAAGGAGTGAGGAGTGTCTTTCTTTTCTCTTTATTTGCTGTAAAATATGGATGACACAAGGTGAAATTTTATAAGAAACACTGTGGAAATTGCAAAGTTATATTTGTTTATAACTTTTAATCTTTTTTTAAACATCGGAGGGCTCGCTGGAAATGACCTTGTTTACATTTTGCTCTCAGTTTCCCCTCAGTCACTGTTTCCCAAGGTGTCCAATTCCATGTTTCTCATAGTGATGATGGTTTTTTCAGGGGGGGAAATATGCCGAATGAGTCAAGTTGGTAGGCGTGTGGTGAAAGTGGAATTGATGCACTTAAATCTGGTGATAGCACAATGTATCTGAAGTGCCTGATCTTTTTTCAACATCGACCTCTCTTTGACATCTGATGTTCCTCTGGAGGCAGTTGCAGTATTACTATTTATTTGAATGTATTTTTAGGTGTTTTATATGATATTTTCTTATTTTTGTGTCCAAAACATGACTACTAGTTTGCCCTTAAAACATAACAGTACTCGATTTATACTAAAAATAAGTCTTTTCTGTATTTCAGTAGCTACTCTACATCAGAAGCACAATATAAAAAGCACATTTCAGACACTTTGTATTTTCCACAATTTCACATACATGACCGCCTCTGTCTTTGTGCTGTTTTTCAAATTTGATGTTTGTCTAATTAAATAAACTTTTGTGTTGAGGTCCTTGTGTAATTTCTTTACAGATTACTGGGCACAGGCCCAAGGACCCAAAGTGTCACGGACCTCCATGACCTTATCCTGCAAAATGTCAGTCAAATTAACACATAGTAACCAGGAAGAGTCACAAAACAACATGATATAGAAAATCTACCCTTGGTCAGTTTTAATTTTGATGAATAACAGAATAAACTTGATGAGCCTCAGCTGATCTTACTTAAATACATCTGTTTTTCACAACACAAATCTGATCAGAAGAACGTGGCACAGTATGTGTGCTTGGACAGAGACAAACCAGAAAAGTAACAGAGCAGTGATTCAGCCTTATACAGTGTATCACACAGGTCATACAGAAGCATGTGTAATTACAGCACCTTAGAGGAATCAAAACAATGTTGTGTAAAACAATGTTGCAATCTGTTTACCGCTGGAATCTGAACATCTATGAGGTCCTCATAACCTTTAGACACCCCGAAGCCTTTTCACATGCCAGCATTCAGACAGTGAAAGACTAGGAGGCCTCTGAAAATATCTAAACTATGACCGTGGAGAAATCGTAAATCTTCATGCAGATGTTATTATTATTCATGATGACATTCATATACTTCCATATTTAATAATTTTTCCGTGACAAACCACAAGGAGACACAAAATGACCACAAAAGACACAGAATTAAGTCAGTGAGACACAAAATGACTTCAAAAGACACACATACAAAGTGACAAAATATAACTGAAAAAGACACAAAACTACCTAAATAAGACTCAAATGACTACAAGAAGACACAGAACAACCATAATACGACACAAAATTACTATGAAGTGGCACGAAATGGCCAAACAAGACACAAAATTACCCTAGAGCAACATAGAATGTCTACAAAAAGACAAGAAACAAACACAATGTCACACAAAATGACTAAAAGTGGCACAAAATAACAAAAAAAGATACAAAATGACTACAAGAATACAATACAACCACAATATGACACAAAATGACCACAAAGGGACAAAAAATTATTACCTTAAAACAACACATAATGACCGAAAAAGACAAAATTATCTAAATAAGACACAAAATTACTACAAGAAAACAAAATAAACACAATGTGACACAAAATGACAGAAAAAAGACACAAAACTACCTAAATAAGAGACAAAATAACTACAAGACAACACAAAACAACCACATTTGTGTGACACAAAATGGTTACGGACTGACACAAAACAACAAAAAAGATACAATTTCCTAAATAAGACACAAAATGACTACAAGAAGACACAAAACAAGCACAATGTGTCACAAAATTACCAAAAAGACACAAAACAACCACAATGTGACACAAAATGACCACAAAAAGACACAAAACAACCACAATATGACACAAAATGACCACAAAGGGACACAAAAGAACCACAATGTGACACAAAATGACCACAAAGGGACACAAAATGACCAACAAAAGACACAGGATTACCTCAGTAAGACAAAAAATTGCCTCAAAGCAACACAAAATTACACAAAACAACCACAATAGGACACAAAATGATCTTAAAGGGACACAAAATGATCAACAAAAGACACAAGATTACCTCAGTTAAAACAAAAAAATTACCTCAAAGCCACAAAACAACCACAACATGTCACAAAATGACCAAAAATGACACAAAACAACCACAATGTCACACAAAATGACCGAAAAAGACACAAAACAATCACAATGTGACACAAAATGTCTACAAGAAGACACAAAACAATCACAATGTGACACAAAATGTCTACAAGAAGACACAAAACAATCACAATGGGACACAAAATGATCTCAAAGGGACACAAAATGACGAACAAAAGACACAAGATTACCTCAGTAAAACAAAAAAATTACCTCAAAGCAACACAAAATGACCAAAAAAGACACAAAACAACCACAACGTATAACAAAATGACCACAAAGGGACACAAAATGACCAACAAAAGACACAAGATTACCTCAGTATGACAAAAAATTACCTCAAAGCAACACAAAATGACTGAAAAAGACACAAAATGACTGAAAAAGACACAAAACAACCATGTGTCGCCAAATGACCAAAAATTACACAAAACAACCACAATGTATCACAAAATGACCAAAAAAGACACAAAACAACAACAATGTGACACAAAATGACCGAAAAAGACACAAAACAACCACATGTGTCACAAAATGACCAAAAAGTACACAAAACAACCACAATGTTATACATAATGACTACAAGAAGACACAAAATTACGTAAATAAGACACAAAATGACTACAAGAAGGCATAAGATTACCTTAGTAAGACACAAAATTAGTTTAAGAGACACCATTTAACTACACAAAGACACAAAACAACCACAATGTGACACAAAATTACGTCAAAGACACAAAGAAAAAAAGACGTGTAATGACCATGAAGACACTCAAACCACCACTAAGTGTGTGTGTCTTGCTCCTATGTAAAGGAGGTGATGGAGCCGTTTGCATATCTGTGCCCAGAGGCCCATCGTCTCATAATCAGACCATAGGGGAGAGCAGACCTGACATTTTAATTGTAGATAATACAGTTCTGGTTTTGCTGTTTGCAGTTGATAGAAGACAAGCTCCCGGAAAACAAACATGTCATCACTGGCCACTAAGGGGAGGCAAAGCCAGCTAGTCCTCTCAGAGAGAGGGACACACTCTGCAGGCTGCTGCCTCATGCCCCCTCCCCTTATAATTGTAGGGTGCCGTTAAGCCAAGAGTTATTTTTGCTACTTTTAAGAGTAGAGCAGGGCATACATTTAAATTTGCAGGAGGAAGAGTTCATTATAGTGTGCTTGACAGCCATTTAGAAGAGATGTACACTGCATTTACAGGTCAGATCTCTGCAGTCAACTGTTTATTTTCAATTATAAGTTCTTCTTTTATGAAGACACACTGAACATGTAGCAGACAGAAGAAACAGAATGATGAGATGAAGTTACTTTTTAAGGTGCCTGTGACTTTAAATCTGCTGCCGGAATGTTCTGCATGTCTCTTATGATTGGTTGGTGGAGATTGTGTGCTCACTTCTGATTGGCTGTTACAATCCCAGAGCTCCCTTCTGCTTTTGTTCCTTCCCCCGCCTTCATACATGTGTCATTCAGATCATGAGACCTGGTTTACTTTCCCTGCAAGTCCACACCATAAAGTACAAACAAAAAAAATCCTCATCCAGTTGTTAAACAGGTGAGTTACCGTTTGTCATGTCTGTCCATAGTCCTTCTGTCACACACCATTACATTGTAATCTGTCACTTTAGTCCCACATTAGCAACACCACTTATGTGGGGAACTGCAGGATTTTAGGACAAAGCAAACATGTTTGGCTGAAAGCTGAAATTCTTGATGTCTTATGATTCTGAAATTGAATTCATCTGTCAGACACCACACAACAAACCAGAGTTTAGAAAAGTAACATTAAGAGAACAATTTTGCAATATTCTGTCAGTATTTCTCGTCGAGTGATACCAGCTTTTCTGTCTTCACAGGCATGAGTTCCTTCCATCATGAGCTGCTGCTTCTCTTAAATCTGTTCAGCCTTGTCTCAGGGCTGCAGTTTGCCACATCATCCTTCACCCAGGTGCCTTTCCTCTCAGTGTGGAACGCCCCCACTGCCAGCTGTCTCTCCCAATATGGTGTGGACCTCGACTTGGGCACATTCAGCATCGTCCAGAACCAGAACCAGAGCTTCGTGGGTGGAAACATAACCATCTTTTACTCTGAAAAGCTCGGCCTGTATCCCAGGTACACCAGCCAGGCAGAGGCGATCAATGGCGGGGTGCCGCAGAACGCCAGTCTGGATGAACACCTCAGAGTGGCCTCTGGAAATATCCACACCTGGATCCCTGACAGGGATTTCCAAGGGTTGGCTGTGGTGGACTGGGAGAGCTGGAGACCTGTGTGGGAGAGAAACTGGGACAGTAAGGAGGTGTACTGGGAGGGATCGAGAGCACTGGTGAGGTCCAAGCATCCAGACTGGAGCCCAGCGCAGGTAGATGCTGCAGCGAAGGTGGAGTTTGAGGCAGCTGGGAGGAAGTTCATGGAGGGAACGTTAAAGCTGGGGCAGCAGGAGAGACCCAATGGGCTGTGGGGGTTTTATGGTTTCCCCAACTGCTACAACTACTACAACACCAAAAGCACTAACTACACAGGGGAGTGTCCACCTGTGGAGCTGAAGAGGAACAACGAGCTGCTGTGGCTGTGGAACGTCTCCTCCGCTCTTTATCCTGACATCTACCTCAGCCTGGAGTTGCGAGACCTCAGCAGAGAGGTGCTCCTCTACACCCACCACCGCGTCCTGGAGGCCATGAGAGCAGCAGCTCAGCTGACTCCATCAGCACCGCCTGTGTACCCCTACGCTCGCATTGTCTACACCTACACATTAGATTTCCTCTCACAGGCAAGTGGCAGATGATTTAACTCCATGCTCTGTTGAAATAATCATGATTTAATCTGACTGTGCTGATCTTGTTTGTTCCTCCTGCAGGAGCACCTGGTCTACACCATCGGAGAGAGTGCAGCTCTGGGATCTGCAGGGGTGGTGCTCTGGGGCGACCATGCCTTCTCCAAATCTCAGGTACAGTCCGGCTCTACCTGAACTCACCAGAGTGTAGAACTCAGAAAAATGACTCAGGATAAAATTGTTATGGTGTTTGGCATAACGCAGGCGACATAGGATGTTTGTCCACATCATAGAGCAGGTCTTTATTGTTCCAAAAATGACAAAGAGTCATTACTGACCAGTCTTTTGCCATCGTATGTTAGACTAACTGAGCTGTTACCACGTGTTTCGATATCTGCCTACATGTTCTGTGCTTAGGTTCATTTATTTTTTTCTTGTAGATTTCTTTATTGATAAGGGGTAATTTGTAAGAAGCTGTTCTAAGAAAAATGTTGATAGTGTTGTTTTGATTTCTCAGTATCTATGGTGATTCATAACCCACATGACTGATAATTAAGGAAGCCGGAAACAACATCAGACAACACCCTGATGAAAATGATGAGTTGGGTGTGCAGCAGCATAACTGTGTGACATATCCGAACACACAGTGCCTGTTCTTAAAGTGTAAAAAGAAGATTGAGAGCAACCATTTGATCCCTTCAGTGAACGTTATTGTTCCATTATGCTTTGGAGATTTACCTCCTTCCTTAGAGAGTTTTTTAAGACAGTATTTTTAGTTCGTGTCTTAAAAAAATTTTCTCCTGAAAGACTGTCTGGCATATTATGCATCTCATTTACTGTTAGGAGATCCCATGAAAAGACCACAACTTCCTCTCAGGACTCTCTCACTTCCTTATTATATCCATGGCACTCAGCATTTTGATCCAACTGCATACACGCACCATTTAAAGGAGCTCTGTACGACATTCAGAGCATCAACATGGCACCAAACAACCCTTTGCTCTGTAAAGATATAGTGGAGAAACAGCGTCCTGAGCAGAGCTACACTACCTTTGTGTGTGTGATCTGAGCGTCTCTGTTCTTTGTTGTGGTAGAAGGTCCAGCGCATGTGTGTGGCTAGCTAATTTCCGCCACTCTGCATTATGTGGTCACTGCTAATCTTGGGACCACATTGTCGCGGAAGTGTGATGCACATCCTAATTAACACTGTTAGCTTTATCCCTGTTGCCATTGTTACTTTATTGTGTTTGCACCCTTTTTTTTTTTTTAAAGATATTTTTTTGGGGCTTTTTAGCCATTAATGTATAGGACAGACAAGCGTGAAGGGGGGAGAGAGAGAGGGAGTGACATGCAGCAAAGGGCCACAGGCTGGAGTCAAACCCGGGCCGCTGCGGCAACAGCCTTGTACATGGGGTGCCTGCTCTACCACTAAGCCACCAGCACCCCGTGTTTGCACCCTTAGCTGCTTGTCGCCAGCTCAGCCACCTCCATGTTGAGAGCCATGTGCAGACAACTTCTGAATCTTAAGTCCTTTTTACACAGAGATCACGCCTTAGAGCCGCTACAAAGTCCCTTCTTTATGCCTCCTTTGCATAAACCAGACGGCGGCATCATTCTGCTCCAGTGTGTGATTATGGACAGCATCCTGGCATCACAGAATCAAAAGAGGCGTGACAGGCGTGATATGTAACACAACAGCATCAGCCTTTAGTGTGACATATGACAGACACATCAGCAGCGTATTCTGAACAACAATGGCATAATATGGCAATAACAATCATTTGCCATCTCTGTTATATGGCGGCTGATCTAGTCCTCTGCTCTGAGGTTAAGGAGCCCACGGATCTCATTGCTTTCCCCATTTATGGACATTTACGGACACTGTTCTTTTTTTAGAGTTAGCCACTAACTACTAACAGCTACTTTTTAAATCTCCTACTGTGGGTCGCACAGATAACACATTGTCAAAATGTCATGCCAAAACATCTTGCCAATTGCTACCTAGCTGATTAAAGCCAAGACAGCTCTGTCTCCCCATTCCATGATTGCACCTTATTTAGAGTAAGGCGAGGTGATATAATGTCGTAATGCTCCCACCTTGAACAGGCAGTGTAAAAAGGGCCATAGATACCCTTTGAATATCGTATGGAGCTCCTTTAAAATACAGATCACAAACATATATTTTCTAATTTTATTTACAAAACAAAAAAAAGAGGCAACATGATTTTAAGTAAAATTGCTGGCATCATCTACGTGTTAAAGTGCTGATGGTCTGTCATTAAGACGAAGGTGTAAAGTCGTCTAAGCACTTTATTTACGACTCTTGTTTCTCTCCTTTCAGGCCACTTGCGAGGCTGTCAAATCCTTCATCGACGAGACTCTGGGTCCATACCTGGTGAACGTAACAGCGGCAGCCACTCTTTGCAGCCAGACCATGTGTTCCTCTCGGGGAAGATGCCAGAGGAGGGACCCGAACTCAAGGGCCTACCTCCACCTGGACCCCGCTGTGTGGGAGGTGGTGTCTGAGAGGAAACCAGAGGGAGGGCGGAACTACAAAGTTTTAGGACGGATAAGAAGACACGAGGTAAAGTTGATGAAGTCTGAGTTTCAGTGCCAGTGTTACCCAGGATGGAGTGGTGAGAGCTGCTCCAAATGGATTCATGGGTAAAAGACTTTTCTTAAGGGAGGTAATTCAGTGACAGCTTTGGTCTAATAAATAGCAGTAAAGTCTCTAAAATAAACCACTGCAAAGGTAGACTGCACCTTGTTTGGTCTCCTGTCAATGGACGTTTCGTGTTTTCTCAATTAATTACTCTTTACTTTTATTTTTCTAATAAATGTTAATAAATCCCCATTTAACAATGTAAGCAGAGTATTTTTTACATTCCAGTGAGTGTGTGATAATAAATGAACAATGTGTTGTTAAATGACAAAATGTGTCAAATGTTTTTAGTCCAAGAAATCAGCCTTAAACTATCTGTGAAGATACACTCTGAGAGTCACCCTCCACTCAAAAATATGTTTAGCTTATTGTTACTTACTTAAATATTTGAGCTTCACTGTGCAGAGTTTGACACCAGAAGACTGTTTTCACAAGGAGTAATGTTTGTCTTTGCTCAGCTTAAATCTGAGTTTAACACGCCTACATGTGAGAATGATTTTGAGACAACAACTGGAAACCTCCAGTACGCAAACACTGAGAATGGGCTACACAGTGAAGTGGGAGACATCTTGTGTCCAGCAGTTAAACTTCTGAAATTCACAATATTTTCATATTCATGGATTTTTAAATGAAACGGGAGTAGATGGACATTTAAGATTTTTTTTAAAAGTAGATAATAAAATGTGTAAAAATCATATCAGACACAAATTATTATTCAAAGTATCGAGTTTTTCAAGTAATAAAGATCTCTTAAAACCTGCCATAAGGGTGTCTTTAATGTTAATTATATTGGGATTTAAGTTTATAGTAAGCAGAGTTTTTTCAGTAGAATTCATACATAACACAATCAGTTAATAAAATATAATTTATTTTCTGAGATTAAAGTATCCAGCTGTAGGTCAAGCTGATAAAAGGGTCTCCACATTGACTGAACTGCGTTAAAAGCTGCTTACAAATTATATATATAGTATTATATCGAAATCAAAGGGGCCATTCTGCATAATTAGTACTTTTACTTTGTACTCTTGCTTGAATAAAATTTTGAATGCAGGGCATTTGTATTTCTACTTTTACTAATGTAAAGGATCTTTATTTTTCTCCCACCACAGCAGAGGGGGGATCGTTTAATGGTAATCGAACTAACATTATATTGCAAGTAAATTCAGCCTATAATTTAACTGCTGTGGTTTTCATTTACATTTTTTATTGTATGCTTTGCCTCGATTAAAGCAAATTGCACATAAGTACAAAGCACACGGCACAATCGTTTACACTTTGCTCATGGCTTGCTGACCTGAGTCTCAGTGAAACTGTCATTCTCTTCACAACTTTTGGACATTGTTTTATCATTTGAGCCTGCACATGCAAAATGATCCATTCTGTTATCAAAATCCAACACACATTAATGTATGTTTAATAAGTATCTATTACATTCAGTGTTTGTGATGTCTGCTAAGTTACCTGCCTGGTCAATCTTTATTTTTTATGGCATGGGTGTCATTTTGTGGTTTCTGTTGACTGTATAGGACTTTACATGAAAGGTCAAAGGTGAATTTTCTGTTTACAGCACATGTAACACATTTACCCACAAATGGACTTATTTTCTGTATAAATACAAATGTGCATATCTTCATCTTGTACAACAGTGTTGACTTTCCTCTGTAAAATTTTACCTATTGTTGAAACTGGACCCTTAAAAGCTCAGTGTGATAAACAAAAACATTCAGACAGACCAAACTGACACTTGTGTACAGTACAGTAAGCAGTCAGTGCCAACTGAAAAAAAAAGCTGAACTAACCAAAGATTTGTATATGGCAAACATTTTGATGGTTAACCGCCATGGTAGCATTGGCCAATTTACTGACGCAATAACTGGGTTTTGAAACATGAGAGAAATGTTTCGGAGGAGTTACTACCTTCAGAGGAAATGCAACAGAGCTGTGATGTTGCCTGAAACGTGTGACAACTGCACTTAACAGTTCAGACGAGTGGTTCACAAGGTTTTTTTTTAAGAGGCCCCTTCTCTATCATAAAGTAAACTGACGACCCCCGACTAAGTGACATATTTTATAGACATTTCATATTATATTCAGTACGTAACAATATCAGTACAGAACAGCTGATAAACCGCACAATTAAGTAACCCAAATAGTGAATGCATTAACTACAGGAAGAAGAACTTTTCTGTATGATTATTTTAATTTTAATTTAATTTAATTTAATTTAATTTAATTTAATTTAATTTAATTTAATTTAATTTTTTAATTTTAATTTTAATTTTTTTTTTTTAATTAACTTTATTTATGTAGCACATTTACTGTTCCACACCATAGTTATGAAATGATGCCTCACCGTGTGTTTTTGTCCTCATTTTTGGGATGAATTAAACGCGAAGGTTCATACAATCAAAGCAAATCTGATAAAAAAAAGTAGAACTAAGACCATTAAGAGCTTTTTAAACCAGTTAAATGATCTTAAAATCAACTCTAAAGCACACAGGAAGTCAATGCAGAGACTTTAAAATTGGTGTAATGTGTGTTTTTCTAATGCAGGACGAGGACTGAGTCAAAGCGATTGGGAAATACTGTCATTTTTTTGTGATGGTTTGTGACCAGCAGGTGGCGTTGTGGGACAGCTGACTAGAAGAGATGCATGAGACATCAAGGTCAAAGCTTTGTGCGTTAGCAATCACAACAAGGGTCAAATAACTGCAGAGGGAAAAAAAACACCTCTGACTCAGTGCGTCACATTTTGATAACTTTATACTCCCGACTCTGCAGCCACTGAAGTGTTCACAATGGATTAAACTGTAACACAGAGGCAGAGAGAGAGAGAGAGAGAGCACGAGGTGACCTTGATTGATTTACAAGTGGTGTGTACAATGTGTCTCATCTGATAGCCACCGCTGCTCTAAACGGGTGCTGTTGATAGTAATTTCCCTCCTCTGTCCCCTGGAGGATCGGCAGGCTGGAAGAACAGACTCCCACAAGGCCCCTCTGTTTCTAACTTCCGGCTTTATCAACCCCGGGCTGGATTGTGAGGAAATGAGGAGGAGATAGACGCTTTTTTGAAAAGCTGTGGAGAGATATCAGCCTGGTGTGCTTTTTAAATATAATTTCAGTGTTTGGAGTTTATTGTGCAGTTTGTTGAACCAGACAAACAATTGGCTTTCGAAAGGCAGAGGGCAGAATTTAATGTCCATCTTAAACACTATATTTACCTGTGGTTACTTGATAATGGCAGGAAAAAACACAACAAGGCTCTCGTGCTGATTGACATTCAGCGCTGCTTGTCAGTCTGTTCGTTATTATTTTCTTCACTGAGGCAGCCTGAAATCCACTTCCTCTGTCCAGATACAGAGGAGGAATTATTATTATAATAATGATGATGCGTTGTTTTTAATCGGCTTGGGTTTATTAGCTTTTTTTTTGTTTTGTTTACAATATTAAAATAATATTCAAAATGAAAGTCATAGTGGAACTTTTTCACACCTGTTTCCTGAACATTCAAAAGAAAAACTTAACCTCACCTGCAGTATTATTCATAATGACACAGTGAATTTTACACACTATGAGTGGCTGTTTTTTAAATGATATCACAAACTTCAAATTACCTTTCAATGTCATAAGTGACCGTACACGCACAGTAGCCAGTCTGATCTGTTTATCTGGTTTGAGTGGTCCTCTCGTCTTACCCTCCACCCCTCTGTCAGGTCTTGGCAGGCCCTCTATTTCTCTATCCTCTCATCTCTGCATTTCTTCATTTTGGCGTCTCGCTCTGTCACCCCTCCATGGTCACGTCTCGCCTTTCCCTGCTGCTCGGTCTAGAGATCGTCTCGCTTGCTCTTGGTTTAATAACTGTTTTGTCACGCTCTGTGTCTTTGTCCTTCAGAGGAGTCGACTCTCTGATCAGGTTTCTTAAAGATCTGATGCACACTTGTTTACATGATTTATGGGTGTATGTCACCAAAGCGGTGGTGGAGTGCATTGATCAGCCTATTAACGGTGTGACTTCAAGAAATAGTTTGAAATACGCTGATTTGCTTTCTTGAACTTTGATATGGGAGAACGCTTAGTCAACATTGTTTTGCAATCATCATCATGGTCATTAACCTAGTTTTTGGTCCACTTTGGTCCATATTGACATGATAGCATCACACAGTTGCTGCAGATTTGTCGGCTGCACATCCATGATGTGAATCTCCCGTTCCACCACATCCTAAAGGTGCTCTATTACAGTGAACTCATTGTCATGTTCAAAAAACCAGTTTGAGATGATTTGAGCTTTGTGACATGGTGCGTTATCCTGCTGGAAGTAGCCATCAGATGATGGGTACACTGTGGTCATAAAGGGACGGACACGGTCAGCAACAATACTCAGGTAGGCTGTGGTGTTTAAATCATGTTCAGTTGGTACTAAGGGGCCCAAAGTGTGCCATGAAAATATCCCCCACACCATTACACCACCACCAGCAGCCTGAACCATTGATACAAGGCAGGATGGATCCATGCTTTCATGTTGTTTATGTCAAATTCTGACCCTACCATCTGAATGTGGCAGCAGAAATCCAGACCCATCAAACCAGGCAACATTTTTCTAATCTTCTGTTGTCGAATTCTGATCAGCCTATGCCTCAGTTTCCTGTTGTTAGCTGACAGGAGTGGCACCTGGTGTGGTCTTCTGCTGCTGTAGCTCATCTGCTTCAAGGTTCGACGTGTTGATGGTTCAGAGATGGTTGTCTTCATACCTTGGTTGTAATGAGTGGTTATTTGAGGTACTGTTGCCTTTCTATCATCTTGAACCAGTCTGGCCATTCTCCTCTGACCTCTGACATTAACAAGGCACTGTCGCCCTGCTGCTCACTGGATATTTTCTCTTTTTCGGACCATCCTCTGTAAACCCTAGAGATGGTTGTGTGTGAAAATCCCAGTAGATCTGCAGTTTCTGAAATATTTAGACCAGCCCGTTTGGCACCAACAACCATGCTACATTCAAAGTCACTTAAATCACCTTTCTTCCTCATTCTGATGCTCGGCTTGAACTTCGGCAGGATGTCTTGACCATGTCTAAATGCTGAAATGTAGTTGCTGCCACGTGACTGACTGATTAGCTATTTGAAGTTAAGGTATACCTAATAAAGCGGTTGGTGAACTTTATTCCTCTAACAGCCCAACATTTTTTAGGAGGCTAAAATACGTTTTGCTGCTGCCACCATCCACAGATATATCCACAGCTGCTTCTCCAAACTGGGATCGTATTGGCCGACATCTACTGTAGGTAATATACTGACTATGGGTAGGATCCTCATACAACCAGTAAGATTAACTTGCCTTGTTTTACTGCCATCTCTCTCCATCCCCCGAGTATGTACCCAGACGCTGTCCTATCCAAACTTAGACCTGAGCTACTCAGCCAATCAAATGTGTGCACCCTGAGTGAGTGAGATTCGCACACAGGAAAGATGAGGAGAGACAACAATGTGAGAGATAAGTCAGTGAGAGAAAAGTCATTTCACACAGTTTGTTCTAAAGACAGAAAATTAGACAGCAGTACGGAGCTTTTAATCAAGAATGAGCAGACTCTTGCATGTTCATTCTTCCCAGGGGCAGTTCAAAACCTGTGTGTTTCATTATATGTTTGGAGACTGTGGTGATTATTAAAAGCAGTTTGAAGCAACACTATGAGACAAAGCACAGAGCATCTTTTGAGCAAACAAACCCACTCAAATCCGAACTGAGGGCACTGAAATTTTATCTCATATGGCACTGAATCATTGAATAATGACGCAAGTTAGACATTAGATGGTTACTAAATTGGCTACTGCATAGAACCTCAGTTCAAAAAATCTGAACAAACCCTTTCAGCCATTATTATTAATCATCAGTAACCTGCGTCACTGCTCTCTGCCACCAGCTGAGTGGGAGTTTCCATTTCAAAAACCCAGAAAACAAAGCAGACTGGCTACAATGAGGGTTAACATCATCACATATGAACAAAATTGGGCTCATTGAATCCACAAGAGTCTCAGCTTTCCAGTCATATCCGATGTATGTGATTCCAAGTCTGTTTAGGGACCTCAGTATGCAGAAATATTCAAATACAACAAGCGAAAGTAGCAAAATGGCAAATGCAAATGACTGTTTAGTGTGTGCCCAAAACTGCACAGGACTAGCATAAAGTGGGCGTGTCTGTAAAGGGGAGACTCATGGGTACCCATAGAATCCATGTTCAATCAAATATCTTGAGGACAGAGGTCAAGGGACATATGAGAAAATGGCAATGCTGTTTTCCCCTTGCCAAAATGTAGCCAAACTTTGGAGTACTATTTAGCCTCTGAGAATTTAGCCTAACGTGATACCACTGGATTCCTCAGGTCTCCTAGTTTCATATGATACCAGTATTATCACTCTAGCTTTAAAACTCTATAGCGTCTGAAAGACAGGAGTATCAGCTGGTATCGCCAGTTTAAGGCTTAAAGATCCAGTGTGTAGGATTTAGGGGCATCTATTGGCAGAAATGTTTTCATTGATGTATAACCACCAAAATAAGAATTATGGTGTTTTCATTACCTTAAAATGAGTCATTTATATCTACATATGTACAGTCCTCTCCCACCTAGTCAGCCATGTT